ACAACCGAGCATCCTTCAAATTTATCGCTGACAATCTGGACACGAAAATGCTTCTCAGTCCCTTTAGGCACTCTATGCATGTAGCTTTCACATACAACCTTCAGATGAGACGGCTAAATTGTGTGTTGCAAGCGTAATACAGATTATCGCTCACTTTTACGCACCGAAAAAGTCTCTTCCAGTTTCTTGCGTATCGAAGCAGCTACTGGTCCTTCAACTGTTGCGGTGCTCAGAGCTCTCCACGCAACGAGCATTAGGAAGTAATATTCAGCCTGTGTATTTACATCTTTTTCTCTACCTTATAGCATTTGAACAAATACCCAGAAGACAAAACCCTTTCCTATCATTAAAATGGTAAATATAAACAACCTTGTTATTTCGGCATGACACATAACAATCAACGAACCAAAAATAACAAGAAAAAAGCATAAATTTAACGGAATCTGCGGAAAACAGTGGTATTCTTTCTCTTCCAGTTCTTGGCTTGGGAACCTCCGCGTGTGGCTGAGTACCGCCATCCTTTTCCAAGTCCTCGCGACTTCTTTCCGGCCGAGGTAAGACCACGTAGTTCACGATGCTTCTGTACAGGCTTTGTGATCCATTGAGTATCCGGATTGCGGCGGATGGCCTTGTGGAAGGGATCAATGAGGATGACTTCGTAGAACTTGTAGGTGGAATCTTCTCCAACCCAATATGAGTTCAGTACACGAAGCGATCCGAGACGACGTCCGGCACGATCCTAAATCATAAGTATCATCAAAACCCGTGTACTTTAGTAGATCACAAAGTTTGTAAAATGTTCACTAAAAATAGCGATTCTGGTAAAATAAAAATGATATTTACAAAATCTTTAAATAAGTATCAATATGTTCTAGACCTGCAATAAACTACTATGAACGATTTAAGTTGAAATCACTTTTAGAAAAATAAGTCTTAAATCATGGTGATAGAGGCAGGTTATGACAAATTCCGCTATGAAAAAAACATATTTGAGAAACGCAAATAAGAGAGCTGTGCTCTCAGATACTCACATACATCGCAGATTTCAAACCTG